GGAGCGCGCGTTGTCCCTGGCTTTATGCAGTTATTAATGCAGTTTTTAGAGAGAGAGAGAGAGATGTTGTAATAATGAGACAGGAAAGTATGTGTGTCAAAATTATTATTTATTAATTAATTAATTAAATTTGTTTTAATGAATTTGTTCCTTTTTTCTATTATTGATAGTAGATAATCTAATAAATGAAACGCACAAAACCTTTGAACAAGTATGCCAATTATATCAATAATTATTTATTTGTTAAATTATCTGGTTAGTTAGCATAGCAGCATTGCATTAAGCATTACTTTTCATAACTTGTTTTCTCCTGTGTCCTCGATTTTCTCATTGTAACGTTTTGTTTACGCGACCCTACTAAAAAATAGTTTAAGGAGGTCCTTTTTTATAGTGTAAATTGAGGCAAATAGACTGCTGACGATTATTTTTAAGTAGCACAGGGCACTGATGGTTCCAAACATTCTACGTTTTATGGCAACTCCAGAATGGATGAGAAACATTGCAGCATATAAACAAGAGTAAACAAGATTGTGGAAAGGGGCAGAGTGAACTATTTATACACTCCATTATGATACAGTTTTACAAAAATATTCAACTCTTTTCATTGGCAGAATGAGGAAAATTGAGGAAAGTGAGTCACTTCTTGTGAAACTGATGGATTAAAGGCTGTAAAAACAGTTAGAGTCTTGGCTGAAACTTGAAACTACAATCAAGGTCCATGCAGTAAAACACACATTCATAATGTCTGACTTTTTTAAGAAAATTGAAAAAAAGGGTTGTGCTACATGCACTCTCTGCATGAAGTAAATTAACTACAGTAGCAGAGAGGAGTGCATGCCCTGTTTGCACACTGTCAGACATCCATACACACAAACAGATTAACCTCAATCTTTTCAACTCAAAGTGTGGCACAACTCCCCCGTAATGGATGGGGGAGTTGCGGGGCGTTTTGAGGTGTCTCAGAACAAGATGTACTGCCAGCAGCTCGAAGCAGTTTATGTGTCAATGCAGTTGGGGGCCTGCCCAGACCGCCTCTACTGCATGCCCATGTATGTGACCCCCCAGCCGGTGTTGGAGGCATCTGTGGAGACCACAGCTTACCTTGACACTTGTGTTGGGGCCTCTCCGGCTTGGAGACATGAAGGGTCTGACCACTGGCTGTTTGGGGTGATTTTCACAGGGAGCGTGCCAGTCTGCCGTGCCCATTTCGGGACTTGACCGTGAAGCCAGTGATGAAGCGGTCTCATATGAAGCAATCTCAGCAGCGTTACTGCTGCTGCGGATGCCATGTGCCCCAGGAGCCTCTGAAAGTATCAGGGGGACCACTGTTCTGCTCTTGACAGTATTCAAGCAGTTCAGGCTCTGACCGGACACGATCCTCTGTGAGGCGTGCCGTCTAGTTGACTGCTCCATACCGAGAAAAAAGATCCTCTGCACGGGTTTGCTCTTTTCCCAGTTGACCTGATATGCTGGAACAACAAGTCCCTGTGCTTGCACAACTGCTCCTGAGACTGGGCAAGTATCAACCAGTCGTCAAGATAGTTGAGGATATGAACACCACGCTCTTTCATAGGAGCAATGGCCGCCTCCACAACCTTCGTAAAGACGCGGGGCGACAGGACCAGTCCTAAGGGAAAATGAAAGTACGCATCCTTCAGGTCGACTGCGGCAAACCAATCGTGGGGGACGGATGCATTTGAAAATACGTTTATGCATCAGCATCTTGAATGGAAGATTGTGAAGGGCCCGCTTCAAGACTCGCAGGTCCAAGATTGGCTGTAACCCACCATCTTGAAGTACGGGCTGTAGAAGCCGGGCTTCATATTGGCTGGAGGGACCGGCTCTATTGCTTCCTTCACCAGTTGAACTGCAATCTCTGCACGCATGACAGGGCACGTTCGCTCAACACCAAAGTGGAACGAATACTGCTGAACTTGGGCGGACGCAGGCCTAACTGAATCGTATAGCTGAGTCTGATGGTGCGGAGGAGCCTGCTGGACCAGTTGGGAAGCACAAACCAGGCCAGGGGGATCAGGGGGACCAGAGGCACCACAGACATTTCCAGCTAAGTGGATGACAGGAACGCAACTTAGAAGACCCGGGCTCGGCTCGAAGTGGGTTCTGATTGTGCACTTACCGGTCTCAACAGGACGGCGGGAGAAAGCGCAATCGGGTCCTTGCACCGCACCTGGCTGTAGATTGGCGATAAAAGAGGGGGCTGAGGGTGACAAAGCTTTTTTGTCGCACACTGCCAATCTGGCCCTCTTGGGTCCCAAGAACAGAGGAATTTGCTTTTTCTTTGAAAATGTGGGTGAATTAGACACAAAACAAAGATTCTACACCCGGCCCACTTCCGGGGGAGGAAGTGGTGTGGTCACCATCTCCTGAAGAGCTTGTTCCTCCATCCCTGGGTGACCTGTCTCAGGGACGCTTGCGCTTACCACCTGACTTGGGCTGAGGCCTGGGTGAAGGCTACTGCTGTGGCCTAGCATGAGCAGAGGCGGTGGCAGGGGGATGTCCTCGGTGACGAGCAGGTGCAGGATCTGCCACCGGCAGTCGGATGGAGGCAGCAGTGGGCCGCCAGGGCAGAATGTGTCGGATCGCCTCCGTCTGCTTTTGGGCAGCAGAGAACTGTTGGGTGAAGTTCCACGTTCCATGGAGGGTTTCATATTTGTTTTTTGTTTTTTACATCTATGTTGATTATGAAAGTGAACAAATTGAGTAAGATATGATCCTAAGGAAAGAAACAGTCTACTAAGGACTGTGAAGATGGCCTAGATCTACTCCATCTATCTTTTGATCATCGTTCTGAAATTTATGCTTTTTTTAGCGAAACTTACCCAAATTCAATTATTGATAAAAATTAAAGGGGGGGGGGGGGGGGGGGGTTGACTGCGATTTCACTTTTTTCATTTTAAATAGTGTGTAATGTTGCTGTTGGTGCATGAAGAGTATCTGCGCTGAAAGTTCAATGTAAGCAGAGATCATCGTCTTTTAAAAATCAGGAAGTATATTGCCTACAAAAACGACTCGATTGGGACTACAGCTGGGTTATGGTACGTCACTAACCCACACATTTGCATCAACTCCTCCCTCAGAATATGCAGAAAATGGCTTGCGTATATTTGTGAGGCACGTCGACTCGTCGAGTGTGTTGTTCACGCAGCTGTCAGGTCTTCTGTGTTTCGGGCTTCCCATGGACGCTATACTTCCTCTACAATGGATACAATTTATGTTTGATTATGTTCCTGAAAATGACGATCGTAATCTAGCACTCTGTGCTGCGCATTTTACGGAAGACAGCTTCCAGAATCTCCACGAGTTCAACTCCAGATTCAGCAAGAAACATGAAGCAGTTCCGACTTTAAAACAAGAGGCAGCAGTGTTGGGCCACAACCTGTAAGTAGGCTAAGACTTCATCATTTTAAATGTATTTGCATGTATAATTCCAGACGTAACGTTAGCCTTGTGTTTTATTATTTTTCAAATGCCAGCGCTGGCTTTATAGCCACTACTAGTTAGCCTATGCTATTTTGTGTCCACAACAAACTCGTACAAACATTATGGATCTTAATTTTCTATAAGTACTAATGTTTTAAACGTATTTTTCATGTATATATGCTTTATGACGTTATTTTCGATTTGATCAAGAACGTAACATGCCAACGCTGTTTGAGTATGACATTAGTAGCAGTCAGTTGCTATTGTTGCCAGTCAGATGCTATTGTGTAAAACAAAAGTGCAAAAAGTAAAAAAATGTAGCAACTTATCATTCAGAAACGTTTATTAAGAGCCGTGTGTGGTGAGGTTCTGTTTGACTCTCTTCATCGCGGGTTTCTCGGTCTGATTCTGCCTCAAACTGATACTGCAGTTCGACACATATTTACATTCTTGACCGGAGCTCACGTTCCGCCCGTAAAGGTAATGGCCGTTAAACCTTCCGGACAACGTGAGCGACAGTTTAGACAATCACAACACACCGGCCCAAACTAACCAATCTGAGCCCACTACGTGTTTCTGAGGGAGTGTTTTCATAGAAGGAAGTGAACCGCTCGTTCAGGGGACAGAGGAGAGCGTGGCTGACAATAAAGCTGGAGTTTATGAAAAATAAGACTTTTAAAAAAGAAAAACCATGAATACATGTTATATTGCACCCCATAAATACAATTATGCAAAGCAGTCAACCCCCCCTTTAAGAATGCATAAATATAGAATAAAACCTTTTTTTGTTTATTCAAAAGCAGCTAGGGTCTCTTTATGCTCTGTTCCGATACATTGCAACTTCAGATTTATATAAAATATTCTAAACTTTTTAAAAAATGCTGTCAGGGTTAGAGTTAAATACACTCATTTAATAAAAGGTAGTCTCGGTTTCACAGCAATTCTGGTAAATCAGTGATCAGTTCAATTTTTTTCCCCCTTGGTTCCATGTAACCATCAATGACAATACAGAACCATTATTTTTAAGAGTGTAGTATCCTTGAACAAAGATTAAATAAATTTTGTTTCAACAAATACAGCTTTTGCCCACCCAGCAAGATTAAATGGATGCGATGACAGATACAGGGTATTTGATAGGGTATTTGAATAACAGTTATTTGGCATGAAACTGAGAAACTGTACTCAGTAATTTATCCCACCCCAGCAAGTTTAGGCATCACCTGTCACACCTCAGAGTGACACTTTGGCATTTGAAAGATACAGATAAAAGAATGGCTTAGTTTAATCGCAAAGATCTTAAGCATGAACAAACACGTGCTTAGTGGCAAGGAACCAACTGAGCATTTTCTTAGGCTGAGACCCTGAAAGGCAAACTTACTTTGATACCAAGCTTTCATATTTAATTTAAAGGCTAAATTAAGCAATTAAGCAAACAGTCTCAATTTTTGGTTGTTCAAAATAACCTAATAAAATATAATATATATATTAATATTATTAATATAGATTACCATTATCAAAATATTACAGAATATTGCACAAGAAATAAAAAGACATGCCAATTTAAATGTACAATTGCAACACTTTATTATATACTGAATGCCCTCTTACCCACCCAAGCACACACATACACACACACAGAGAGAGAGAGAGAGAGAGGCTATGCAGTTCACAGGTTACACGTATATTCGACTAAAACATCAAAAAAGAGATAAAATTATACAAAGTATAAAATTCACAGTTCGTACATTCATATTGTTCTAATACAATGAACAGAAGCAAACCAATGCAGTTCATTATGAACCTCAGCATGAAGATTCAGTCTGATGTAGAATATATATCAGCAGGAGTGATGGTGTTATAAACTACATATTATAGTGTATTAGTATAATAGACATTTTTTTGTGTGTGTGGTTAAAAATACAACAGTTTTGTCTGCAGTGTCATGATCAAATGTGTCGCAGAAACTCGTCCACTACATAGAGCCTGTGTTTCTGTTATTTATTGTCCGCATGAGTTTTTGCACCCAGATTTGTCTCGGATCACCACAGAGCGTCTTAGAGTTCTTCAGCTTAAAACTGTTTGGAAACCAGAAAAAGAAAAATCAAAAAGACATCCATATCTCTGAATTGCTGTGTAATGGCTGCATTAGACAAACAGTGTTATTGGTACTATGAATTCCAGCTTTCCAAGTGTTTGTTTTTTTATGGCTTAATTTATAATACTCACACAATAGCAGGAATGTTACATCCTCCATCTGTTTGCTGCTCTCTGTAACTCACTATGTTTTTTCTTACGGCCTTCCTCACCCCTACAATGTACCTCAAACAGCAGTTTTCATAGGAACCTAAGAATAAATCAAAATTATATAAATAAGTTTGATTCTGTGATTATAATTAATGTTCTCGGCTTATTCATTTAAACCAGTTAATTTAGTTACCATTCTATTTTTATTTTTTTCAGTGTATGTATTTATGAAAAAGCACACTTCATTTAGTATTTTTTTTACCTTTGTATAAAACAGCTGAAATGTTTCAGAAACTGACCGGTTATTTGTGTATATTTATACAAATGTAAAAACATGCTTTATATATTTAATATTACTAAATTAATATAACAGTATCAATGCATAATTGAAATGATCTCACTTTATAAATGAGTTCTTACCTTGTGCCACACTGGGATACATGCAAGCCAGCAGCAGGAGAAAAACCAGGATTTGAAACTTCATGGCTGAATTCTGTGTATAAGCTGCAAGAAAAGACAAGGAAATGTTTTGTAGAAGCAGTTTTCATTTCATTATGTGCATCCAAAAGCTAATGTAATAAATAACACGAGGCTCTAATGTGCTGAATAATAGCTAGACCGCATGTCTCGTCTTTACCTCAGAGGTTCTCGGAAGAATGGTGTTTTACTTCACGGCCAAAGCTGCTCATATGTCTTCCTCTGTTTAGTTGACACTTTTTATAGCAACAAAACCTGATCCTTTTCCACGCCCCCTTGCCAAATTTTTCCTGGATTTTACATACTACTGCATTAAACGCTGTTAAAAAAGTGGATCCTGTTGATTGACTTTCAGTATTGTTTTAACAAATCACAGTTGACTTAACAGTTCCTGCACTGCAATCATAAACAGCCTACCTGAAGCGATATCTCTAATATCTCAACACCCATTTGGTAGGGAGATGTTTTATTGTGAGGGATGGAACCGTTGGGAGTCTGGAGTTTTTTTTTACAGCCCCGATTTCTCGCCCCTGCCATTATTGCACAATATAACATCTTTGCCAAATCCTTTTTCCTTAAACAACTGCTTTAGAACTTTCTACTGTCTGTGAGCCAATAAAACAGCTAGATCAGATGAAATGTAATATTGTGCAACGAGATTCCCCTAAGTTGATCATGCTTTTGAATAATGTCCAGCAGTCCATGTTGTGTGTTTATGTCACATTATCTCTTCCTCTCTTGTGTCTCAACTTTGTTTTTGATGCATGTTGGCCCTGACCTGGCCTTAATTGGACCTAAACTACAGACTTGTGTTTCTCAAAGGAGATGGTTTAGTGAAAGGGACATAGCAGCCAGTGATATTGTGCAGGTCTTTGCCAGTAAGGGTGACAATAATTCATAGTGTGCCAAAATCCTACTCCTGCTTTTGGGGAATTCCATTTTATTAAACAACTTAACATTTCACCATGCAGGACATGAGAATCTCATCTTTGAATTGGTGCATCTTACAGACGTTAAGAGGCTGTTGTATGACCTTTGAACCAAATATTCTGCAGAAAGGAGATCAACTTCAAGGAGGGTCAGATTTATCTGAAACTTTACCTCTATTTAGAGTAGTTTTCTTAAAATTGTGTCAAAAATTGACACCCCCATGTCATCCAAGATGTCCATGTCATTCTTTCTTCAGTCGAAAAGAAATTAAGGTTTTTGATGAAAACATTCCAGCATTTTTCTCCATATAATGCACTTTACCGGTAACCAAACCGGTAAGATTTTAGCTCGGCTTTTGACTTAATTGATCACAAATATTTATTAAATAAATTGTACTGTTATGGTTTCAGCTCAACGGCAATAAATTGGTTTCAAAGTTATCTGGAAAATAGGAGACAAACTGTGTTTTTCAATGGAAGTTTTTCACATGAAAAAGCAGTTGACTGTGGTGTACCGCAGGGAAGTTGTTTAGGACCCCTCCTGTTTTCCATATATACAAATGACTTGCCATTAGTTTTAAAAAAATCAAGAATAGCAATGTATGCTGATGACTCAACTATCTACACATCTCACGAAACTATTGAAAACCTTGAAATTGTGTTATTGGAGGAACTAAAGTCCGTATAGAGTGGGTTAAAGATAATAAGCTGGTTTTAAATGTAGGCAAGACAAAAATATTGTTTTTGGTACCAGACACATGTTGTTGAGTGAACCCAAATTGAATTTAGTTATTAAAGATATGCATGTTGAGCAGGCATCACAGACACGGCTTCTGGGTATTGAAGTCGACAACCACCTATCATGGTCCAAGCATATCAGTAGAGTTGTCCGCAGGATGTGCAATGGACTTTTTATGGTGAGAAGGTGTTCTCACATGTTGCCTTTTAACATTAGAGTAAATGTAATGAAATCACTAGTGTTGTCACAGTTGGATTATTGCTCAGAGGTTTGGTCAAGTGCTGCTGTGACACATATATCAGATCTACAAATGGTCCAAAATAGAGCAGCACGATGTGTACTTCAGTGTCCATTTGGAACCAATGTGAACTGGATGCATGATACACTGTCCTGGTTAAAGGTTAAAGAAAGATTTACAGTTTCCTTGCTAAATTTAACAAGAACTATCATTTTAACTAAATCTCCAAAAGTACTTTATTGTAAGTTGCACTTTAGTTCTGATGAGCACCATTATGCCACTAGACATGCTACAGAGGGTAGGTTTATACTACCCAAAGTACGAACAAATTATGGAAAGAGAACTATGTTGTATAAAGCAATGTTCTGTTGGAATACTTTGCCCGGTGACATTGTCAATGCACACAGTAAACGTCATTTTAAAGTCCTTTTAAAAAGGCATTTGATTACGAGTTAACATGTATTGTGAATAGTAAATTGTATTACATTATAAACTAGAAAAAAAAGTTTGATGACACAAACTTTAAGTTGGCTTGAGAAAGCCGGACCAGAGCGTTTGAAGAATCTTGAAGTTTGAATTAAGTTGGAAAAAGATGGAATTAGAAAGAAAGAAAGAAAGAAAGAAAGAAAGATGGATAGATTAGTTAGAAAGATAGATTAGTTAGAAAGATAGATAGATCGATAGATAGATAGATGTTATTGGCAAGAAGCTAGCATGATTAACATGTAACTAGCATCATGCTAGCATGATTAACATGTAGCTAGCATCATGCTAGCATGATTAACATGTAGCTAGCATAATAATAACACGATTAGCATGTTGCTAGCATCATGCTAGCATGTTTTCAGCAAGAAGCTAGCATGATTAGCATGTAGCTAGCATCATGCTAGCATGTTTTTAGCAAGAAGCTAGCATGATTAGCATGTAGCTAGCATCATGCTAGCATGATTAGCATCATGCTAGCATGATTAGCATGTTGCTAGCAAGAAGCTAGCATGTTTTTAGCATCATGCTAACATGATTAGCATGTAGCTAGCATCATGTTAGCATGATTAGCATTATGCTAGCATCATGCTAGCATGTTTTTAACATCATGCTAGCATGATTAGCATGTAGCTAGCATCATGCTAGCATGATTAGCATGTAGCTAGCATCATGCTAGCATGATTAGCATGTAGCTAGCATCATGCTAGCATGATTAGCATGTTGCTAGCATCATGCTAGCATGTTTTTAGCAAGAAGCTAGCATGATTAGCATGTAGCTAACATCATGCTAGCATGTTTTTAGCAAGAAGCTAGCATGATTAGCATGTAGCTAGCATCATGCTAGCATGATTACCATGTAGCTAGCATAATGCTAGCATGATTAGCATGTTGCTAGCATCATGCTAGCATGTTTTTAGCAAGAAGCTAACATGATTAGCATGTAGCTAGCATCATGCTAACATGTTTTTTAGCGAGAAGCTAGCATGATTAGCATGTAGCTAGCATCATGCTAGCATGTTTTTAGCAAAAAGCTAGCATGATTAGCATGTCGCTAGCAAGAAGCTAGCATGATTAACATGTAGCTAGCATCATGCTAGCATGATTAGCATGTTGCTAGCATCATGCTAGCATGTTTTTAGCAAGAAGCTAACATGATTAGCATGTAGCTAACATCATGCTAGCATGTTTTTAGCAAGAAGCTAGCATGATTAGCATGTAGCTATCATCATGCTAGCATTATTAGCATGTAGCTAGCATCATGCTAGCATGTTTTTAGCAAGAAGCTAGCATGATTAGCATGTAGCTAGCATCATGCTAGCATGATTAACATGTTGCCAGCATCATGCTAGCATGATTAGCATGTTGCTAGCATCATGTTAGCATGTTTTTAGCAAGAAGCTAGCATGATTAGCATGTAGCTAGCATCATGCTAGCATGATTGGCATGTTGCTAGCATCATGCTAGCATGATTGGCATGTTGCTAGCATCATGCTAGCATGTTTTCGCAAAAAGCTTGCATGATTAGCATGTAGCTAGCATCATGCTAGCATGTTTTTAGCAAGAAGCTAACATGATTAGCATAAAGCAAGAAAGAAAGAAAGAAAGAAAGAAAGAAAGAAAGATGGAATTGTTAGAAAGAAAGAAAGAAAGAAAGAAAGAAAGAAAGAAAGAAAGAAAGAAAGAAAGAAAGAAAGAAAGAAAGATAGAATTGTTAGAAAGAAAGAAAAAAGAAAGAAAGAAAGAAAGAAAGAAAGAAAGTGAAAAAAAGAATAGTTAGAAAGAAAGATGGATAGATTTGTTAGAAAGAAAGATGGATAGATTAGTTAGAAAAAAAGATGGATAGATTTGCTAGAAAGAAAGATGGATAGATTTGTTAGAAAGAAAGATGGATAGATTAGTTAGAAAGAAAGATGGATAGATTAGTTAGGTAGAAAGAAAGATGGATAGATTAGGTAGAAAGAAAGATGGATAGATTAGTTAGAAAGAAAGATGGATAGATTTGTTAGAAAGAAAGAACGATAGATTAGTTAGAAAGAAAGATGGATAGATTAGTTAGAAAGAAAGAACGATAGATTAGTTAGAAAGAAAGATGGATAGATTTGTTAGAAAGAAAGATGGATAGATTAGTTAGGTAGAAAGAAAGAACGATAGATTAGTTAGAAAGAAAGATGGATAGATTTGTTAGAAAGAAAGATGGATAGATTTGTTAGAAAGAAAGATTGATAGATTTGTTAGAAAGAAAGATGGATAGATTAGTTAGAAAGAAAGATCGATAGATTAGTTAGAAAAAAAGAATGATAGATTAGTTAGAAAGAAAGATGGATAGATTTGTTAGAAAGAAAGATGGATAGATTAGTTAGAAAGAAAGATAGATAGATTTGTTAGAAAGAAAGATGGATAGATTAGTTAGAAAGAAAGAAAGATTAGGTAGAAAGAAAGAATGATAGATTAGGTAGAAAGAAAGATGGATAGATTTGTTAAAAAGAAAGAACGATAGATTAGTTAGAAAGAAAGATGGATAGATTAGTTAGAAAGAAAGAACGATAGATTAGTTAGAAAGAAAGATGGATAGATTTGTTAGAAAGAAAGATGAATAGATTTGTTAGAAAGAAAGAAAGATGGATAGATTAGTTAGGTAGAAAGAAAGATGGATAGATTAGTTAGAAAGAAAGATGGATAGATTTGTTAGAAAGAAAGAACGATAGATTAGTTAGAAAGAAAGATGGATAGATTAGTTAGAAAGAAAGAACGATAGATTAGTTAGAAAGAAAGATGGATAGATTTGTTAGAAAGAAAGATGGATAGAT